AATCCCGCAATAACATAGAGTAATATTCTGCTAGTATTGTATTGTTTAAAGTAATTAATAATTACTTTAAACAATATAACACTAGAGAATGTTGCTCTATATTATTGCAGCAATTGCAATATTTTAACACAACACTGCAATAGCATTATAATATTTAAATACTATACAACAGTATATAGTATTTCAATATAATGGAGTAATGGCATTACGAAATTATAAAACAAAATAATTATGTCAAATAACATGGCACATGTGTAACTGTATTAATTTACCAAACTCTAAGGATTTATCCCAAATTATGATCAAGATGGTAGGTAATAGGTGATTCCAAGTTTAGATTACGTATATATTTTGATAATATCAATATATATAATACATAATCTAAAACTTATAATCACCCACTACTCAATATCTTCTAGGAAGAATTTCGTATGATTAGCTGTTTAAATCAATTTAATTTTATATTATTTATATAGTTTAAAGTACTTTTTAAAAAAATAAAACTACAAAGAATAAAACATAAAAGAAATATATAGAAAGTTTTATTAGAGTAGTAGGACTCTAATATTAAAAACAATCCAAATCAATTTAGTTTTAGAGAAGTTATCATAGCAGTAACCTAATTCCATCTATCTTTAATGTTGCTATTATGCTAACTCTAAAACTAGAAATAATTTAGATTGTTTCTAATAGTGGAGTTCTACAACCCTAATAAAACTTTTTTATATGCTTCTTTTGTTTATTCTTTATAGTTTTATTTTTTTTAAAAAGTACTTTAAACTATAAAAATAATATAAAATTAAATTGAAATAGCCAATCATATAAAAGTCTTCCTATACCTAACAATAATCCTTAAAAACAGTATTTTTTTTTTTTTTTAGCTAAATTCAAATTCATAAATCACTCTATAATTTATCCCAAATTATCGTCAAGATGGGCTATCACAAGTTTTAGATTATATATTTTAATAATATCAGTATAATTCATAATCTAAAACTCATAATCGCCTACCACCCACTATCCCGACGATAATTTGGGATAAACTCTTAGCTGTTAGAGTGGTCCATGAATTTTAATTAGCTGTAATTCAAACTATTTTTTTTTAAATTATTTTTTTTTTTTATTTAAAATATTTTATTTACTGTAATTATAATAATTTAAATTTTTTTTAGTTTCTTTTTTTTTAATTTTTTTTTATTAATACAATTATTTTTAATTACTATAATATAAAGTTAAATATATTAAAAACAATTAGGTATTAATTACAATTTTGGAAAAATAATAATATTAAACAATATCATAGAAATCATTGTGTTGGGTAGTTTGTTACGTAGAACTAGCTGTAGAGGTAGATATTAGAAAAGTGTTGTTGGGAAGTATTTGTATTAGTAAAGTGACTAGTGGTTTGGGGAAGAGGTGGTTGTTGAAAAAAGGTGGCTATCTGGAATGTAGTAATTGTTCAGGATATGATTGCCAGTTAGATAGAATTTTGGCATAGTTTTGGACTTTTGGTTTTTAGTTTTGGGCAGAGTGTTGGAGTTTGGATTTCAATCATTGGCTTAAAATAGTTTCGGTTAGCATTATTAGCTATATTTAGTTGTATATCCGATAGTTACTTATCAGAATTCAAACTATATATGAGTATTGCCAAGGAAAAACTTGTCATCATCTTTCAATAATATTTTATACCGGATATATTTCCTAAGAAATTAAATAGATTTTGTTTGGTACAAAATATAATTAAAAGCCTGATGACAGGTTTTCCCTTGGTGGTACTCATTGTCTGGAGCGAAGCAACAGACTTATATTTCTATGCCCTTGATAACCAAAATTACATTTTTGATAATTTATAGTAAAAATATTAAAAACATAGTTTTGTATTTTCTGGATATAACACCCCTGAAAAATTTGATTTATATACATACGTATGTATATACATAACAAGACTTTTCAGAGACTCCAGACTTATACTAGTTTCTGGTTCCTAGTATATAAAACTATTCTGTATCAGAGTTGTCTAATATTTTTTAATTAAGCTTATATTTATTGCTCCTGGTTTAGCATAACAATTTTGTGTAGCTATTTATTTATTGTGTGATTTTATAAAGAGTAATTTTATATAGGTGTTATATAATTGGTTAACAAAAAAATGTAATAGTGACTATAAGGCAATTGTGCCTATATAGGGGTATAAATAGTATAAAAAAGGTTGGTAAAAATAAAAATGTAATTGTATTGAGGTTGTGACTATACAGGAGGTGATTATATAGGGGGATAACTGTAGTTTTTATACATTACCTGCTAATAGGTTCAAAGCTTATTACTCATTATGGGGATGGCTTTGTTATTTAGAAGTAGTTCTCATATGCTACTTGCTAACAAGTTCAGAGTTTACCACTTATTAAAAAGAATATGAGCAGTATGCTCAGATCTACTTGTCTTATTATTTTTAAAGAAATATATACTTTTCTTTAAAAAAAATCCAGATCTATACTCTTTATTATCATCTACTTGTATTTCAACAAAATTTTTAAAAAAAGTAAGCAAAATAGTTTACCTCATCAGAAAAACAGTATTGTTTACTTCTTCCAAATTTGGATGAACTGATAGATTACAACCACGTGTTTGGTTAGAAAAACAAATATATTGTTACTTCACATGATTATCAAAGACCAGATTTTATATGGCAACTAATAGAATTTGTCGAATTAGAAAGTGTTTTAGCTTAGTTTTACTTTGTATTCAAAGATATAGAAATATTGCATTTGCTATAAAATTTTTACAAACCTGGTATGAGTTATAATAGTGCATTTTATCTTTATTGTTTTTTGTTTTTTTTTTTGTTTTTTTTTTGCTACTTGATAGTGGCACTCTTATTTTATTGCCTGTTTCAGGCTTAGCTTTTTGTTTTTTTTTTTATATTTATTGGTCCCCTATTATTATTTCTTTATACTTTCTTTTTTTGTATTAGTTGTTTTTTTTTTATATAGTACTCTGTTTTTTTTACAATGTTTGGTCTGTATTGTTAATACAGAAACTTTTTTTTGAATTTTGGTAAAGAAAGAAATTCAAAGTGTTTTAAGCTTGAGACAGGCTAACAAAGTCTTCTAATTCATTTTAATTTTGGTGTAACATATTATAGCTAAGCATATTTTAGACAACCAGGTAATGTCAAACTCAGATTTCAGATGTATATTGGTCCTGTATCTGAAAAGATGTATTCTTTTTGTTTATTCTAATAAAGTCTGTGCAAGGTTAGCAAGACCATAAACGTTTAAAAAAAAAAAAAAAGTTATAATAGTAGTAGTGTTTAGGATTGTTTGGATATGTATAATATATTGTGAAACTAAATTAAAGTATTTTTTATAATAATATACTTATTGTGAAATAAATAATACAGATATATACTTTATAAATATTAAATTAAAACAGTTATTATTAAACCAAATTAATATATTGTAAAAGTGTCTTTAGAGTATTAAAAGCTTATAAGTAATAAGATTTATCTGAATATAGCCAGTAATCTATCCAAGATATAATTAACATTATTTCTGAGGTATTTTAACAACCAATCAAAATAAACTTCTGCTATACTCATCTTGCAAGTAACTTTTTTTTGAAAAATTTATTAAAAATTTATTAACTAATTAAATCAATAAAAGCTTGTTTTGAAATAAAATAATATTCTTGTTTGAAATTTCATTTTAAATAAATAAATAATTTATTGGGCTAGAGCAAAAAGGAGTAGAGTAGAAGACCTTTTTATAGTTTACAATATTGAGCAGATATCATATACTTGCCCTGTAATAGAAAAATAATTGATTCTGAGTAGTTATATTCTCTATAAAAATTTAATTAATCAAAATTTAATTATTAAAAATTATATAATAAAAAAATAATGAAATAGACTATTAAAAATTTAATTAATCAGAAATTCAATCATTAAAATTATATAAAAAAAATATAATAAAATAGACTATAATATTAATAATATAATAAAATAAATGTATAATAAATATGATAAATTAAATAAATAAAATAGATGATTATTATAATAAATATAGTGTTTAGCAAAAATTATTAGTAATTTATTGTATTGATACAAAAACATAAAATAGTTTATACATCTAAACAAAAACTACAAAAAATAAGCCTAGAAGAAATAGATTAGTTTTTATAACATCTAAAAAACAATTAACCTATCAAAATAATAAGTTAACAAAAAACAAGATTGATGAAAATATAAAAGCAATATTGAAAAAGAAAATATAAGTTCAAGTAATAAATATAATATTTATTTATATTCTTAAATTAAAATTACAAAATATAGAACTATTTGTATTAACAGTTTTTTTAGAAAATTTAAATACCTAACTATTACTATCTGCATACAAGCTTTCTGATAATGATTATAGTCTTTTTAATAAATTTTGCAATGAAGTTATTGAGCTTAATTTTAAATTTTGCCTTATTTGTAAAGAGAGCTTTTCTATGATTGTTTTAGTATAAAAAACAGGATTATGTGATAGATATAATCAAAATAAATTAATATCTAAAAGATTTTCTGATAAAAATAATATGAATCCTAGTATATAAATAAAAAATATATTGTATAAATAATAATAATATTAATATTAATATAAATTTTAACTATTACTTATAGAAAAGATTTCTAGTAAACCTTCTTAACTCAGCCAAGTTGAAGAAATATTTATTATATAGGTTTATCTTATATTTACTGTTTATAAACTTCAAGATAAGCAGCTTGGATATCAAGAAAATATAATTAATTTTTTACAAGATATTTAAGAGTATAAATTCAAAAGTGTCAATGTCAGAAAGTTTAATATTAAATAATATACCCGTTGTTAACTTTAAATTACATGGGCTTTACTTGTTTTGCAATTAAAAGAACTTTGTGTCATTTACAATCAAGTTAAACCGAGGTCGACAACATTGTAGAAACCACCAAGCCTTGATCTGGGCTGCAATGCCTTTGCTCAAAGCTTAAATGTCATTTTTTGAGATTTGTAAAATAATCCAAAGAGAATAAAACGACCAAGATCTGAAAAAAAAAAAAAAATCCAACCATGTTAAATGAAGTATGTTTTAGAGAGATGAACAAAGTTCTTTTTTTTTAAGGATACAAAGTTAGCTTACCGCGAGGGTGTGGAATATTGTGAAAGTATAATTATTTATAACCAGTTCAATAAATTTATGTTTAGGGAGTGACCATAGTTATAAGTGTTGACTCTATTTCTTCCTATTCGGGAATATTTCGTATTTCTGTGAATAGTAGTACAAATTTTCTAACACAATAAAAAAGCTTACTGTACATGAAATAAAACAAAACGGTGCAGTTACATTAAAACAATGAGGTAAGATTTATTGCAAGTTCAAAAGATAAAAAAAAATTATTGGCAGATTCTAATAAATAATTAGAGCTTGAACCAAATGATATAGATGCACTAAAAAAAACCGTGGGACAACATATTAGAAGTAGAATGTGCATGAAAAATCATTTGCAGATTTAGAAATCATTTGCAGATTTAAATAAATTATTAAATATCGGGTCAAACAGTGTATTTGCATTAAAACAACTAGAAAAAATTTACTATAAAAGAAAACAATTTGTCCAATAAATAGATTGAAAGAATCTGGTGGAATTTAAAAGGTTGCCTTTAGATTCTCTATGAAGTTTTGCGTTTTTCTAATATAAAAAAGACACTAACTATAAATTATATTAAATTTTTTCGATATTGCAAATTCATTCTCAGAGCTGTTAATAAGCAATACCTATACAAAAATCTAAATTAATTATAGTCTTAGTTGTTATAGTTCTAAAATTAACATGAATTTGATGGTGAATAATTTAAGTAAAAAAATTACTCACTATATATTTCCTTAAAAGAATGGTTTCTTTAAACGATTAGAATATCAATATTTTTATATCAAAATAGTCCAGCATGGTGTGTATCTGTATCTTCAGTTATTTTGGACGTATATATTAATAATAAATTTATTATTCTATAATAAAGATGGTAAAAATTTTTATTACGAATTAAAAACAGGTGATGATTATGATCTTAAATATGTTTAAATCCAGATTTAACTATTCAGACTTTAATCATCTCCTGATTTAAACCATTTTCATTTTATAGTAGTGCAATTAAAGTTTCAATAATAAAATACCTCTTTAATGAAATCTTTAATAATTTCATCTTTCTTTGTATCAACTCTGACATTTAAGAACGACCATTAATTCACATTCATTCCACTCGTACTTAAAATATTTCCAAAATCTCCAATACCGATCATTGTGGGTTGTAAATTTATTATGTCCGAAATAATTATTATGTCCGTTTGAAATAGCTATTTCAAACCATAATTAAAAATTTTTATTATAATAGGATTTGAAATCACCTAAAATTTTGTTAATCGCATCAGCTGTTTAATTTAGCTAATATAAGACAATATTGACAATAATTCGGCCTGACATAATAGAAATATGCAAAATTTATAATAAGTATATAATATATAATTATATATTTATATATTTATATTTTTATATATATATCATTCGAAAGTTTGAATATCAATTAATACGTACTACAAATTCAAACTTCTTAAATTGTTTAAACACTTGCAATGATTTCTATCTATGGCACATAATATTAATAATATTTACAATAGGTCTTGCAGGTTAAAATAACAATAATTCGACAACTGAAAATATTACAGTATATAAATTAATATTTATTGTAAAAAGGGGTTTGTATAATGTACAATAAATTTTATACTAAACTGAGGGATCAAAAATATCACGCTTTCTATGACCATAAACTATATAATTCAATAAACCATGTTCAGTTAAATCAATAAATCTAGTGGCATTAGGAGTTTTCATATAAACAACTTTAAAACCAGTATCAAATTTTACAATTTTTAATAAACCATGATCAACTATATCTATAATTTCTTTGATTCTATTATCTTCCACATGCATAATTTTACCATGATTAATTTCAAAAAATTTGTGACCAGTTAAGCCAATAAAAGATTGTTCATGAGGAGAATGTATATAAACTTTTTCGTATTCAATCTTTAATGGCCAATTATCAGTTAAATTAATGCACCTTTTAAGATTATTCTTCCCAACATATATTATTTGACCAGTTTCTATTTTTAAAAAGCCATGCTCAACATAAATATCCATACTTTCCTTTATATTTAAATGACGAGCATCCAAATAATTAACTTTGTCAATTTTATAAACCAATTTTCCATTTTCAACATTAAGAAAAAAGAAAAGAGCAATAATTAATTTAAAGAAACTGACTTTAGTTGGTACGATACGAGAAACCTCATCATCATTTTCATTTCCACTAATTGTGACAGTTTCAAAATCTTTTAAAGCTTCATCTTCATCATGTTGCATTCGAATGGCTTCAATTGATTCTATTACTTTAAAATTTTTATCTTCAACACCCATTAAAAAATCTCCAAAATCATCTTTACTAAAGAAAGAAGAAATAGTTCTTGATAAAATTATACCAAGAATAAAATTAAAAAAGGAATCTACAATAGGAAGAGTACAAAGGTAAGCATAAGAAAAGAATAATTGAACTTGTAATACAAATAAGGTACTAAAAAATATACGACGAGGAATACCACCAGGTTTAAGTAAATGATGGTATAATGTTAAGTAAAATGCCAAAGCTAAATTAACAACATCAGAAAATAAATTTAAAAAATGTAAATTAAGAAGTTCTAACCAATTATTATAAGAAAAATTTTTAATATAAATAATATCAAAAGAAATTATAGCAAGAGCATAAAATAAAATAATGTATAAAATAGAACTACGTATTTTTGGAAGATGTTTTTCATTAATATTTTTGAAAAATGAACGTTGATAATTAAATTTTACAACTAAAGCAGCGATTAACCAAACAAGAAACAACCATATTAAAAGAAGGAAAAAAACTGCATGATTTTTATAATAAGGTAGATTATTTTTTAATAAAAATTGGCCAATTGTATAAAATGGTAGAATTGGAGAAATTGCAAAGGTTAAAATAAAAAAATCATCAAGAAAAAAAGTGCTTCGCCACCCAAATTGAGATTTAATGCCATATACAGCGACAGTAAATAATATTCCTCCATAACTAATAATATGACTAGCTTGATCTAAAAACCCTGCGTAAATTATATATTCTGAATAATCAGCTATTGGACATGTATAATTTTCGTTTGGAAATGAGAATAAATAAAGTAAGATATTTTCATTACTATTATTACTATTTATATAATTAGTAGACATTTTTAACAAGCTTTCAAAGTCTTGTAAAGATATAAAAAGTTCAATAAATAAGAATAAAATAAATAAGGGTCGTATATATATATGTACGTACGTACGTATAACGTTTATATATTTTTCCGAATTGATTATCTATGAATAATGTAAAGATATAAAATGACTCCAAATCTGTCATTAGTAAAGATATTAAAATAGTTTTTACCATTTATATCTGTTGATCTTGACCTTTTCCATTAGTTTTAGTGTTAATTAACGTTAAGATGGCATTGTCAAAATTTCTACTTTTAAGTCACGGAAGTGTCGGATAATTCAGAACGGATAACGGATCAAATATCAAGATAACCTGACAGGTATACAGATAATTATCCGGATAAACGCTTTAATAGATTTGAACCCTAACGAGAGTTTTTCATGTGACGCGAACAGCCCAGATTACAATAACTAAACTAGATATTCTAATCTATGCATTAAAAATTACACCTGTCATTTTATTAATTTTATTATTTTTGTGTAGTTACAAGCTCATAAAATACCAGTTTAAGTTTTACATTACATGGAATCTGAAGCTGATAGTTTCCTATGTCATTAAAAGAAAATGGGTAAACGTGATAATATATACAAAAAAAATAAAAAATAAAAAATTTCTTTTCATTGATAAAAAAAACAAACTTTTTTTCATTGCGAAAAAAAAAAGGAATACATCATCAACCTTCATAAGCTTCGTCATTCGTCAATGACAAAAATTTCGTCGTCCGTTAGGTACATATAGATATCATGAGATCATTAGTTTCATACACATTTACGGCAAGGCGACCAATCAAATCTCATAAAGAAACATTTCATACAAGCATCAAAAATCTTGTAAAGGGTCATTTCATACGAAAATCATTTTAAAAAAATCTCAAACGAAAATCAGTTTAAAAATCTCAAAGGACATTTCATACGAAAATCATTTTAAAAAAAATCTCAAACGAAAAATCATTAAGGGACATTTCATACGGACTTCTTTTTAAAATTTCATAAAGGGACATTCCATACAGAAATCATTTAAAATTATAAAAGAAGCAGTTTCCACTTACACCACATAATACATGAACTAATAAATTATATAACGATACTTTTTGTGATGCATAATCATTACCTAATATATACTAATATTGAATAGACTGTACGTATGTATTTTGTTAGTATCTAAATAATGCTTTTTTTTTTTTTTTAGCAAAAATAGTAGTACAATGTATTGCTGAAATACGAGATTCACTATTTCTGCATAAATATATGTCGATTTCTTTTGTTCTTAAGCTAATAAAAATTAGTGATTTACATGATAGACGGAATGATCTACTTGCTACCTTAAAAAATATAAACATACAATTAATGAATTAATTTTTGAATGGTTGGCGTACCATACTATGCATAAGATATGACCTACTGATTTTACTAGATAGCCGCGATCGATCACACTTAAAGAAATCCGTAGACATAATTACCGAATACATAATAGGCAAAAAGCGCCTAAATCTAGACATCTGTTTTATAAATCTTTATTTTTTGTATACCTTTTTTTTTTTAAAAAAATAATTTATTGACGCATTATATATGAGGAAATATATTACTAGCATATTTGCAACTTAAATAACGAAAAAAAATATATTTATAATTAGTAATTAGAATTATTTATTAATTAAAATGGTTACTATTTTATTACTACCAATTAATAATTATTACTATATTGCAAATCTAAACATTATACATAATTTAACTTAAAAAAAGGTTATCCTATAACATAAAACAAAGTTAATTACAATATATTTTGTTAATGTATGGTAGGTATTGGAATTAGAATTTATCGGAAAACCCATGCTTTCAATCTTCCAATCAATAACATTAGCAAATGTAAGCGTTTGGCGTTTTAGGGAATTCTAAATAAACTTTTTAATATTTAGTCTAGAGGTCCAAACCGGATGCAAAATTATCATCCGGGTCACCCATATAACCTTGAAATCGGGTACCCGGGTGAAAACGGGTTATATTGTATAGTGTGATTTATGTTTTAATACCACTAAAAAATGAAAAGAATTTCTCACAAAGAAGCTTACAAACTATAAATACACGTAAAAAAAGAATTTGTCACATATTTAGAAATAGATAAATACGCTTAAAATGTAGTAAATTGATATTTTATCACGAATAAACCAAACTCAAGCGATCAAAAAAATTCGATGTGAATAAATTATCAAATTACATATTATCGTTATCTTTTGAAAAAGCAAGTAAAGTTATTCAATCTTATTTTAATTTTCGCGACTTTATTAGAGTTGTGATATGATATTTAGTTTAGGGGACGGGACGTCCATAATTTACGTTAAACCAGCATTGTTATAGGGATCTTAAAGATAATACAAAAATAATACTATATGGAGTTATCTTCAAGGTCTCTATTTTTATACAATACTGTACTGGTTTAACGTAAATTATGGATGTCCCCTTATATAATTAATGAAACAACAATACTCATATACTTATACAGATTATCAATCTACTATCACTATTTATTCCCGCACCAGTGGGAACAGGAGGTAAATCCTCGGTCATCTGGGGCCGAAGAGCCCCAGCAGGCTGAAGATCTACCAGATTATTTTCCGTAGCAGTGAAATAAAGTTTTTAGCAATGCTTGTTATTTCCCTGGAAGCCTGGGGAAATAACAAGCGCTGCCGGGAAAATAACATTGCTAGAACTTGATTTTTTTTACTAATTAGAGTAGTGATTATAAGTTGTAAAACCTCCATTATGTGATCATATAGAAACGTGGAATTTATCGGTTAGTATAAAAAAAAAATAAAAAGGCATGCCAAATCTTAACCGATTTGACCCGGTTTATAAATTAGAAACCCGGCTCACCCGTTTTGATCCGGGTCACCCGGGTTTATGTAACCCGGTTCGGACCTCTATTGGGGTTATGCAATGTCCACGACCATTCTATATTCGTGTAACATATTTGCATTCACTTTTTGGAGTCTCCAAAAGTAAACTTGCAATCGGATTTTAAATTTATATTTTCCGAACAAAATTATAATTTTCTAGGTGACGGGCTTTTCCTTTGTAACACATATTATAGTCCGTCGTTTAAAGACGGGTCTAACTTATTGGTATTTATTAAATTACTGTAAGTAAGTACGCACCTTGTATTATAGCGATTAAATTAAGTAATTACGCACCTTGTAGCGATTAAATGAATTACTAATCGCTTTTGAAATCATTAGAATATGTAATGATATTATGCGATTTTATGAACGATTTCATAAGCAATTATAGCTAAGAAAAGCAATTGACCATTCAAGTACCGCCATAATATTATGCAGTTATATAAGCGGCTTCATATAAAGTTTAATATATCCAAGAAAAGCAATTAACCAAGAAAGCAACTAACCAATCAAATACATTGTACAATTCAATTTTACCGCTGATTATGCAATATCATGCGAATGACTGATCATCTAATTTTTAATAATCAACAAATCAAAAGTTCCGCCCATATGCTAAATCTGGCAAAATTTGCCCAGAATTATAAACGGTACAATTCTTCTATCAGATGACGTAAATCTTCTGCTATACTAACTCTATTTAATGCTAACTCTGGACATAGATAACAAATCTAATCAACTCTAGCCGTCAATAAATATCACCGATTATTATTCATGAAGAATAATTTATCTAAATTTCTAATACTAATAAGCCAATCATTATCAATTTAAAAAAAAATTTTTTGGTAATATTTTATTATGCATAAAATAACATTTTTAGCAAGAACAATTTCAATATATATTTGTTTTTTCCCAGTGTTACAAATTTAATTCTTCTAATTTTATACCAACTCCGATTTCTAAACCATAACAATCACTGGTAAAAAAATCAATTAACTAAATAATAACTAGTAATTTCTGGTGCAAATTATAACTTATTTACTATATATTTACTAAATAATTTGTGTAATTTATATATTTTTAGTTAATATGTTTAAATGCATATATTTATCTAGTGAATATATAGTAAATAGGAGGAAATAAGTTATAATATGTACCAGAAATTACTGGTTATTATTTGGTTAATAATTGATTTTTTTACCTGTGAATAGCTAACTTGATACATTTTTCTAGAAATATTCTGATTTTTAAATCTTAAAGATTTTTAGACATAAATTGACTTATCCACATCTAGGCGGATATGAAGAATCGTTGATTAAATAAATAACTAGAGACCGACTAAACTTATAAATTATTGTGAAGTTTATCGAATATTATTCACAGCTGCGTTGAGAAATCGTGAATTATGGCGATTTGCAAAAAGGTGTGACCTTGTGATTTTGTGATGATGATAACGAAAAAATCTCTGAGATTTTATAATTTTTATTGCGCTTTGCAAAAGATGTGATCTCTGCATATCACAATGTCGTGTGAAAATCCTAGATTCCATAGATTTTAAGAATCTTGCCAATATAAATTTAACTGATCGAAAAATATGAATTAAAAGACAGTTAGAATCTCGGAAAATTTTCTTGATCATCATCACAAAAATCATGGGCCACATCTTTTTGCAAACGCTATAATCAATAACGCTTATAATTTATTCGAAATCTTTTTTTTTAAAATTCTCTAAGCTTCGGCTGATTTCTCGTGATTTTATATAACATCATGATCTGCATAGGTCACACCTTTCTACAACTGCCATAATTACCAAATGATAAGCTGGACATGGACATGGATACTCTATAGTCTCTCTATGTCCATGCCATGTCCATGGATGGTCCATATTCATGTCCATGTCCAGGTACAACACTGTCTATGTATGCTAACTCCAGGCTTGGGTCTTATTTCTGTCAACACTAGTGATACAGTAAATTCGTCCCAATGATATCCCAATTTTGTTATAGCTTAAGCAGTAATTAGCTAAAGCTTATGCTATAACTATTTACAACAATCATTGGGGCGATTCTACTATATTACATGCAAGTTAAAACCTGCCACTTATTAAAAAAAAACCTCTTCATCAAATCAGGTATGTACGTATGTACATCTGTACAGGGGACCTCCCACAAAAAATCAGATGTTTTAATTTTATAATTTTATTCTAATCAATCTAATTCTTAAAGATACTGAATTTTTTTTAAAAAAAATTTTTTCTATCCCCTTCTTTTGCTGCGGGGCCCATATGCTATAACACAAGGCTTGGGTCTTATTTCTGTAACACATGCAATTTAAAACTTGTAGATAAATATGCAAGTATGCTATCAGGTTTTATCGTTATCAGCACCAATTATTAGAAAAAACCATCTCGATCAAATCAGGTATATATATATACGTATATCTGTATATGCTACCACTATATCTAATGGGCTTGGATTCAATTTCTGAAAATTGATTTTTTAAGAGAAAAATACAAGTATTTATTTATTTATTTGAAACGAATATATTTAAATTTGATATACCGGGAACGGAGTGGTATGTAATATTACGAAATACATAATTTGCTAGTGCTCGGCACAATCAAACAAAAATTTAATAGTCAAATATATATTATACTTGTGATTAAGTCGGACATCAAATAATCACATATATACGTGCATATATATAATATTGGTTAATCTGCGATTTTTTGATGTCCGACTTAATCACAAGTATTTGACTATCAAATTTTTGTTTGATTGTGCCGAGCGCTATAATTTGCTATGGCATTTTTGGTGATGTGCTTTCTTGAAATCTTGTAACTGATTGGACAATGCGTTAAATGCGATCTCGAAAAGTACCACTCGCACTGGATTTTTTTTTTTTTATTTGTTTGGATGCACACCAGCCCAAATAGTGCTGGATATTAGA